TTTATTTTGGAAATTAGATCATCTATTGTGTCTCCAGAATTAACAGAGCCTGGAAGCACCATGTTAAAAATAAATGTTACTATACACTATTTTAGCCCCTTCCTCAATGAGCAATATCTACTTGTTATTTTGGAAACATTACTTCTGGGGTGGTGTTTTCTGTGACAGTGTTGTTTCTAAAGAGAGAAATGAGTTGAGAAGGTGCTATGCTACTCATGAATCACTCATTACTCTTGGAAAAACAACAAGCCAATAAGTGCGATAACTTTTTTTTTCTGAATATCAAAGTCAGGCTCTGAGATTTAGCAGTCATACAACTTCATAGGTATACAATGGAAAAACTGTATGTACATGCAAGACATCTAATGGAAATAGCTGTTCAACAACAGGATCAAAATTCAGCTTCTCTTTCTTTTTGAAGGGCAAACTCACAAAACCTGTACCGTCCTTCTCTCTTGCTCCTCTAGTTTATGCAGCTAGCACACCAGTCCTCTACGATCTAAAATTACCATGATCTAGAACACATCCTGCATTTCTTGATAGGGATTAAAATAAAAGGCTTGATGCCGAGGGACTGCTCCGTTCTTCAGAGATGTCCAAACACAGTGGCTGACTTCTGTCTTTTTAATGAGAGCACATGGCATGACTTTTCAGTGTTTCCACATTCTCTATGCCTTCAACTGAGATTCACGAACAGTAACGCAGTGTTTCTCTTCTGTACAGCACAACCCCTAATGTGTTAGTGTTCAAACTTCTTTTGTTTACTTTGGCATGCCCACACTGACTTGAACAGAATTATTCAGCTGTAGTAGAATAAGTATGTGTGACTGTACAGTTTGCAGGACGGATGCCCCTCCGGCATGTATCAGGACGCTTTGGGTGGAAAAGCAGTTAACAGCCAATGGAATGAACCAGAATTAAATCACTCTTGCTTCCAGTACCATAAAATCAACAAGACTAAAGATAGCTCAGTGAGGTATCTGGCTGCAGAGTTAGAGGTTGGGAGTTCAATTCTTCACAGTGCCTCCCAGAAAAGCCAGCCTATGGCCTTGGGCAAGCTGCCCAGCCTCTGGATGCCCCCAGAAGAAGGAAATGGTAAGCCACCTCTGAGTACTCTCTATCCAGAAAACTCTAAAGAGGGTCACTGTAAGTCAAAATTGATTTGGCAGCACAATTACAGTATTATTATCTTTCAGCCTCATGAAATCAACAAGACTTAAAATTCTACAGCTCTCTTGCAGAGAATCCTAAAGAGCTGACCGAGTGACAAATTTCAGGATTCCGTAGGATGGTGCCATGGCAGTGAAAGTGGCATCTAGCTGCTGTAACAGTGAAATATAGACTCACACCTCAGTGCATATGGATTCCATAGGATGGAGTAGCAATTGTTAATGTGGTAACAAGCTGTAGTCACTGTAACGTACAGCTGCTCTCTCTCGTCCTGATTTCAGTGAGCTTAAAATACACCTAGCTTCATTATTGGCAATCCATGACTGATATACAGTGGTGCCTCGCTAGACGATGATAATCCCTTCCACTGAAATCGCTGTTTAGTGAAATCATTGTCTAGCAAAAAGCATTTCCCTATTGGAATGCACTGAAACCTGTTTAATGCATTCCAATGGGGAAGAATCGTCGTTGTCTAGCGAAAACTGGCCATAGGAAAGCCACTTTACGAACCACCGATCAGCTGTTTAAACCGCTGTCTTGTGAAGCTTAGGTCCCGAAAACACCTATCTGCGAGCGCGGAGGGAGCTGTCAAAATCGTCGTCTAGCGAAAATCGGTTTGCGAAGCAGGGACCAAACAATGTACAGAGAATTTCCCCCATAGGAATCACTGTTTTGCAAATTGCTATAGCGATCACAAAAAGCCGGTATCTAGCGAGAAAAACTGTTATGTGGGGTAACTGTCTAGCGAGGCACCACTGTAAAAGGGAAGGAACTGCAGTGAGCAGAACCTCTACATTTGTTTGTACATTATAATCAAAAGCTTGCATACCCCTTATTCTTATTCTCTCCCTAGTTCCTAAAATGACAGGAGCCTACATAGGCACAGGAAAGAAAAAACAGCTTCACCCCCTGCCCAAAAAAAGAGAAGCTGTCTTACCGCTGGTGCCTGAAGAAGCAGGCAGAAGTTCCTAGCCCAAGGCGAAGAGCCCTGAGCTTGGGCTCCTCCAACTAGTCAGCAAAAAAGACCACATTTCCCCCATCCTAGCACTGAAGGAGGGCACACAATCGTGCTTGAGGCTGACTGCCAAAGAGCAAGGGCGAATGGTCATCCTCTCACATCTCATCCTGTGGCAGCGGCATCAATCTTCCTCAGGAAATCTGCATGCACAAAAGCAAAACCCGACTTTGGAAATGGGAACCGCAAATATTTGCCGTATTTTTCCATGTATAAGATGCTACTATCCCCTAAAATAGTTACACTAAAAATTGAGGGGTGTCTTATACACGGAGGAAAGCTGAGGAGAGAACAAAACGGCCTTTACCTTGCCTCTGTAAACAGGCTTCCTTCAATCACGAGCCCTTACGGAACTGATGTCAGATGATGCTGAACAATCAACTGGAACACACCCCATTGGAGGTGAGCTGTAGGCGGTGCTCAGATTCAACAGGGACTCGTAACGTCCGAGTGTTCTGAACCCAGAGGCTGAATACTCAAAGCTAAGATTTCTTAATTTTTGGGTTAGAAAAGTGAGTGGGTGTCTTATAAACAGAGGCGTCTTATAAACAGAAAAATATGGTAGGCGGGCAAAATGTGGCCCTCTCCAGATTTTGTCATATTGCATCTCCATTCAGCGTAGCCAATAGTAAGGAACACTGGGTGCTGCAAGTCAATAACCTCAAGAGGGCTGCCTTTTGCTCACTTCTGCCCTAAGGCCATTAAGAGACTGGAATGACCACTAGAACAAAACGAGAGTATCCCATATTTCGGACCAGCAAGAAATGCTAAGCAAAGAAAGTTAACTATCACAATAAGTCAATACTACACCAAATACTACACAAACAGTAAAGGCTTCAGCATGTCTACACTGTTCTACAAGTTCTAATGAGATAAATCAGGCTTAGTTTGGTTTTAAATTCATAGAAAGCAGAAAACTTTTTTTAAAAATCAACTCTTCCTTTCTTGGCTATAACATCAATGTATGTGCAAGTAGAGAAATAAGAAGCACAAGCAGCAGCTGGATTTTCGCATCCTCATGCTTGATGTTCTTTTCAGTACTCTTATAATTCTTGTTGTGCTAAAACAAGATGGCCACCAAAGTGGGATTCCGAAATAAAGGAACAGGTTCCTCCATTTTATAATAACAAGGAGTTTGGAAGAATCTCTGAGAAGAGTGGCTGGCTGAATCTTGGCAAACCGTTTCCTTTGTTATGACCTACTTCAAAAAATATATATAGAAAACTGTTATTTGGCAAACTGGTAATAAAACAGGTTCCCTCTTATTACGACCAGCAGGATTGCTTTCCATACTGCAGATCTTGGCTCTGGTTATTCCCATTTATTAAGTTTCAATATATTTTCCTTCTTATTTTCTTTGTAAGCTCAACATCTTGAACGAGATTTTTTTTTTGCTTCATTTGCAGTCTTTCTAGGATAGCTGCAACTCCCCGATTCCAAGGATCCCGAATTAAAGACAATACATGTACGTACCCGAGTGCACCTGATGGAGATGATGAGGACAAGTGCCCATTCAAGCCAACTCAAATCAGTGGCACAGCATGCGCCTTATGTTGGGGCTTTGATGTATGAAAAGGCATGCTCTTGTGGTTTTTATATGAAGAACTGTGTGTCCTGTACCTGCAGTCATAAACCTGGAGGCACATCCGGTATGTCAGAGCCACAGACCATGGGGTGCTGGAATGCATTACTTGAGTGTAGTTTCCCAAAAGGAGGAAAGCAAGGAAGTATTTTCTTAGGCCTCTGTTCTGAGGAAAATGAGTGTTTTAGAGACTTGAGCTGAAAAACAAGCCAATAGTTGTTTACTGCTTTTGCTGCTCTGCCAGCGTGCTTTATAGCACCAAGAGTGTCCAAATTACAGTTCTGATAGTTTATACTAGTGCCCCTCTACTCTTCCTGTTAATTTCTTTTGCATAAGAAAACATAGTCATTCTGAAACAGATGACGCTACCATTTATAACCCATCCACCCGGCATCCCATTTAAAAATATGCAAGAGGCTACATTTTAAAAGGCTTTTAAAAATAAAATAACATCTAATTTAGGGTGTTGTTTTAAAAAGCTATTCCTAAACCACAAGGAGTTATGTGGCTGTGCAACATACGAGTTTAACAGCAGCCACTATTTTTAGGAAGGGAAGTGGGGAAAAGAAGATTAATTGAAGAGGCTGAGGGTTTGGGAGGCATAAAAGCACTGGCAGAATATACAAGCTTGTGTACTTCAAAAAAGGCTGGTTGAGAATTCTCAACCTCTTACAGTGGGCCACCCCAAAAAAGTCACCATGTTTTCTATTACGAACATACAAAATGCCCCAATATTCAACAGGAACATTAGTTGGATTCAGGATCTGCTGCCCAGATGACAAATTCGGGTGCTGAATTGAGGTTACTGAGCAGTAAGAGGGGAATATATGTATACTTATGGGGAACTCAAAGTTTCCCTAAAGTGGAATTGAGCTTTTGGAACAAAAACCTAAAGCAGCAGACCCCTTTTCCAAATCCACCTCCCCAAAAAAACCTCCCATGAGGACAGAACCTGCTCAATGACCAAAGAGTGTGTGTTGGAAAAAGGAGGAGGGAGGGAGATATCCAGCAGAATGGAATGGAGTATCCCAGGAGGAGATATCCCCGTTGGCCAGCTGGCACATTGAACAGGAGTACCCATGTTGATAAGATGATTACAAAGCAAGATGAAGAGCCTGGACGTGCCACAGAAGAGATGGCCAAGTTCCAACCATCCAGGTCAGAAACAAGAAGGCAACCGTTTCCAGTTACGGCGTACTAAAGCGTTCGAGAAAGAGGTAAGTACTTTTTTACGTTCCTTTACACTGTGGGAAGATGTGACATACAATCAGCACACACTTCGCCAAAAAGTCTGAATGGGAAAATTGAAGGGAAAAATTACATGAGGTTCGTTCTGAATGAATTTCCAGGAAGATGCTTCGTCCCTGTAGTTCAGGTACACTTATAAGATCTCCTGTCTCATGCTGGAGGTTATTACAGAAGATTTCGAACACCTCTCACAAAGTCTTTTCTTTAACCATGTGCGGTGTCTTTCTTCACAAGCAAATTTTAAAAAGTAGTCTTCATTTCTGATGCAGAAGAAAAACCACACATAAAAATAGATGGTGCCAGGGAGATGTCAGTATCTCCCTATCCCATGTGGCAGAAAATGTAACTGAAGAGGCTGCACATCTAGCATCTAAACATGTCTTCACTGGAGCTGCAACTGAACAGGGTGAGAGAATTTCACATGCTATTCAGTTTCCTGCAGAAGCTATGTACACACTGCTGAATATATTACATCCAGTTCCCTCCCAAACAGGAGGAAACTAAATATACTGGGTATTTCACAATGGAAAAGAGGTGGAAATGATCTGTTCTAACACATAGACATAGTAAGCCCCAAGGTCCCGGACTGGCTATTTCAGAGTCCAATTTGGGTGGAGGCTGGAGTAGCCAACTAAACTTTATGGGTTCTCTGGTGTCTCACAAGATGGGAGGCAGCCCCAAATCCCTTCCCGCAGCTGGCACATTTGAAGGGCTTCTCGCCCGAATGGGTGGCGCGGTGGCGCTCCAGGTGAGCATTCCGAGTGAAACCTTTCCCACAGTCTCTGCAGGAGAAGGGTTTATCTCCGCTGTGGATGCCCTGATGGCGCTGGAGGTGGGCGCTGCGGGTGAAGCGCTTGCCACAATGTGTGCAGCGGAAAGGGCGCTCGCCAGTGTGGATGCCCTGGTGGCGGGTGACGTGGGCGCTGCGGGTGAAGGCTTTGCCACAGACCCCGCACTCGTACGGGCGCTCGCCAGTGTGGGTGCTGTGGTGCCGGGTCAGGTGGGAGTTGCGCCCAAAGGCCTTCCCACAGTAGGTGCACTTGTAGGGCCGCTCCCCGGAATGGGTCTCCTGATGCCGTGCCAGGTGGGCACTGCGGGCAAATGTTTTGCCGCAGTAATTGCAGCTGTAGGGGCGATCTTCCTCGGGCACCTGCTGCCCAAGGCGTTTTCCACCTAAAGGGCGCTGGAGCCCAGAGTGGGTGGCCATGTGCCGGGTCAGATGTGAGTTACGTCGGAAACCTTTCCCACAGTAGGGGCATGTGTGGGACTTCTCCCCCATGGCTCTTGGTCACTGGAAATGTCTTGTACGAGAAATAGGCACCTGCCTTGACACAACTCTCCCGCAGTGGTTAAGGAGATGTCCTTCTGAGTATAGAGAGTGACCTATCACAGTTACTTCAGAAAACAATCTTTGGACACTCTCTTAAATCAGATGTTGTGCTTTGGGGGAGCTGTCTGTTCTGTTTTCAGCCTTCTCTCAACGATTCTTCTGCACTGCTTTCTTTCCATTCATAATCTGCAGGGATAACAGAGAGGGCAGAGGGGAAAAACAGAAAAATTGATGTCAACACTAAGCAATATAGCGAGGCAAAAAGCAAACAAAATAATAGGGATCAATTCAGTTGAATGCTTATTTTTGCTTGATACCGTCTTGATATTTTTGCTTGATACCTGCCTCACCACACATAGTCACTATCCTGCATATAAAGATGCACCATTCTAAAGTTAGCTCAGATACGTGCTGGAAGTCCACTCAAGTGCAAGTAGTATTTTATCACAGGTGATGTCAAAGTACTACATTTCTTTAAAAATCTATCTGGAGGGAAGGGGTGTTTTTGTTTCGCTTGCCTTTAAATTACTTCTCATGAAGCACAAGTAAGTCACAAAAGCTACAGGTCCCCAATACCTGTAGCTTTTGTGACTTGGATCCTGAGTCAGTCACAGTTAGTGAATGAAATCAATGGGACGTCAGCCACTCATGACTCACTTGCTCTACTGGGTTCCATAGGTCTACTCTAAACTGGGCTAGGTCTGGATTCCAACACATGAAGCAGGCTGACTCAAGCAGATTTTCCTTCTCTTCCCTATGTTTCTTTCCTTTTCAGCCTCCTGCTAAGCTTCCTTAAAATGCTAAACTGAAGCCTGAGGGATCCTGCTGAATGGGAGGACCTAGGGTACAATGAGAGAAAAAGAAGCAGCCCCACCCCGCCCCACCCCATTCACAGATAAAGCAAAGCTTTTCTGTCAATGGAAGGCAAACCCTGGATTCAACTCAGTAATCTCCAGGTTTATTTTTCAATTGACTGCAATTCCACCTTTCCTCCAGATAACTTAAATGGCCCTTCTCTTCACTTCATCCTCACAACAAACCTCTGACATTTTATGGCAAGCTGAAGGGAGACTCAAGACCAGGATCCTGGCTCTTCTGTGTTCCCAGACCAACACTCTAAATCCTAGATCACACAGAATCTGTAAACTCTTTGTTAAAATCCACAGAAAAATACAATATAATTAGGATACCAAGAGTTATGCATTGAGTGTTGAGACTATTTTGTTTAAATACCAAGGCTTTGAGACTTTATAATTTGCCTGTACATTCAACAGTACCCAGATAAGGATCAGTATGCTGCTTGAAGATTTGTTTGGTTAAATTTAGTTAGCCATCCCCAACCTATTGTGCGCCACCTATTTTGGACTACAACTCCCATAATCCCAAATGAAATCATCCATTAGGCTTCTCTGAGCCTTGTCATCCAAGATTATATATAAAGGAGAACATCTATAGCCTGAGTTTCTAACTTTTCCTATCTCTGGAACTTGTACAAACTTTTAAGGATGCACTTCCTATTGTATTCCCCAGTTATTTGGAAAGTTCAGTTTTAAGCTGGGGGCGCATAGGATATTTACATCTTCAAGTATTTTGGTTTACAACTCCCCCAACCCAGTGGTTCTCAACCTTGAGTAACCCAGGTGTTCTTGGACTACAGTTCCCAGAACCCTTCGCCATGAGCTGTGCTAGCCAGATTTTTGGGAGTTGCAGTACAAGGACACCTGAGTTACCCAAGGTTGGGAATCACTGCACCAGTCTTTTACTGCTGGACTGATGGGAGTTGTAGAACAAATAGTTTGAAAGGCCCCAAATTCCCCACTATTTACTCAAGCTTTAGTTTTGGAATTGTTGGACAATAGTTATTTATCAAACCCCACCCCCAACCAACAGTTGCTTCTACAGAATGAGTGGACAAAATACAATCACTTAGATGTTACCGAACTACAACTCCTACCACCTGTAGGAGCACCAACATTTGAAGGACAATGCATTAGCTACCCCTGCATCTTTAGAGCTCTATGGACGATTTATGTTTCTACCTAGAACAGAGGACACCAAAGCAAAAAATAAAAATAAAATAAAAAAAATTAAAGCTGATATCTATCACCCTCCTGCAGCTCAAGCCTAACCTAGAAGGAAGATCTACTGAGGTGAGTGTGGCTTACTCTAAAGCAAGTATACAGAGGATCACAGATCTATTCCAGCAAAATCACACGCTGGAAAGGACTGGACCTACCTTGAACATTTTCCTTCTCCCTCGTGTCTCCACTAGCCCACCCCTTCCCAAAAGAATACACCTTGATCCTTCAAATTTTGAAATACTTAGTATACAACCACCAAGAAAAAAATCTTCACGGAATCGCAAGAGCCTCTTCTTACCAACTTCTCCATGGCTCCCTTGTTTCCGCCACCCATCACTATCACCAACCATTTGTCAGCCTCCTCTTGTTTAGCCCATCTGTAGCTAGTTGCTGCTGTTTAATTTTTTAAATGTTATTTTTACAGCATCAGTGCACACACCTTTAGCTCAATGCTGAAGCACACAGAACAAATCCTGACTTAAATCATGTTTGATTTAACTACTGAAAAAACACACCTCACTTAAATCAATCACGGTTAAGTTACAGACAAGTTTTTGAGTCCAGCTTCAGAATCCCCATGCTGAGGAATTCTGGAAGCAAGAGTCCAAAAACATAACTTTTCCATGATCTGTTCTGACTGTGTTTGAATATAATTCATGCTTTGCCTGAAGAACACTCTGGAGTCATTTCCCAGCTTTTCCAGTTGAAAGGCTTTGTGTCCCTAGAGTAGATCTGTCACAGCAGCAGGGAACTTCGAAAACTCCAAATAATTTTGGCCCAACTCCAATCAGCCCCACTGGCACGACCAATCCCCCACTCCTATTCTGGGAGACCAATTGCCAGTGAAAGTAGACAATAGTGGGCTGGACAGACAATCCAGTTTCATAGGAGCCCAGCTTCCTAAGCACAGAGTGACAGAAAAAAGGTCCCTGCCCCAGAGGCTTACAATTACATCTTAAAGAATACTCAAACTTTTTAAAAACAGGCGTTTTGAACATTGGGCTGGTTCTGTTGTCTCAAAGAAGGCAATGAAAAGATCCCTGCCATATCCCGGGCACAGTATTACGTACTGCCCAATCGATGCAACGCCATCTGCAAGCTAGAAACGTTACTTTTTGTTGAAGACAAAAGGGTTTTTTAAGGGATGAGAAAATCGTATTCGGAAAAAAAAATATCGCCCCAAGCTGTTGGCCCTGATCTGCTGCAGAAACAGAAATGGAAAAGACGGAGAAAGGACGAACAGGCAGAGAAAGATAAGAGACGGGGAGAAAAGGAGGGGGGATCGACCCTAACGCAACGTGATCCTGAGTATAGGGAGCGGGAACTGAGCCACACGCGGACTGCCCTTCAGGGGCATCTCTCCCTCCCACCCCCCTTGAAATGGGGAGTTTTCATGCACATTCCCTGCCCTCCCTCCATTTCTCTACTCAGGACTCCACCCTCCGTCCCCGCCTTGGGAGCTCTCTCACCGATGCAGCCCCTACGCAGGGATCCAAAAGGGGGGGGGTTGCGCGCCTTTGCAAAGGCGCATTCCAACCTCAGGCCTGGAAGGCAAAAGGAACCACCCTCCGCGCGCCTGGGTGGGCAGGGGCGAGTGCAGGGACAGGAAAGGGCCCCTCCGCGCATCCTGTCTCCCGCCCGCCCCCACCATGGCGGTTCCCGCTCCATGGTATTAACCCTTCTCCCGCCAGCGGCTCCGAGGAAAGGGGAAAAAAAAGAAGAAGGCCGGATCCTTGAGCTGGGAAGGCGAACGTGAGGAAGCCTTTTTTTGCGCACGCGGCGTGCGTGAGAAAAGAGTCGTGCAGGCAGGCTTTGCATCATTGGCGAAGTTTTTTTAAAAATGTGCTTAAAGAGGTGTTGGAATCCTAAGGTTAACTAACCATCAAACGTTCAGAACATAACAATGGCCAGTGATCTGTTGGTTTGCTACAGATTGTTAGGATGATGACACCATGGGAATACCCTTGGGGTGAAGAGCGAGAACCTGGCCATCATTACCCCTGGGGCCTAGGTGTTCACGCTGCCCCTGTTGAACACCAACTCCACCATCTGTGGCTGCCTAGAGGGGTGATGGAGGGATGGGGACCCCCGGATTTCAGCCCGGCTTGGAGTCGAGCCGTATTTGCACTACTGCTGCCATTCGGCTCCTTTGGAGTAAATTCCGTACAATTTAGTGGGAATTGTTTATTTTTAGTTATACTTCACTGTTCTTCCCATGGGGAACCCAAAACAGCTCACAGCCACCATTAAAATTATAAAATCATCACGGTTGTTAAAAATACCATTAAAACTGTATTTTAAAAAACTGAACATTTATTAGAATTAAAATCAAGATTAAAAACAATTTATTTTCTTAAATTTAATAAACATCATGTTTATGAGACACCCCCATTGGTTAAAAGCCTGCCTGTTATGTGATGTCACATCCCTTCTGATTTATGGTGACCCTACACACAAAGTATTTGAGATATTATAGTGCACATGAACAGCCAGTGTGGTGCAGTGGATAGAGTGTGGGATTAGAGACCTGGGTTCAAATCCCTGTTTAGCTGTGAAAACTCACATGGCAGCAGTGGTAAGGCCACTGTTTAAACATCTCACATACTTTCAGTCCTGTTAGGTTCACCATAAGTGAGACACAGCTCAGTGGCACATAAGAACAGCAACAAAGAGTGCAAGAACATGAACCATTCAGAACATGCAGGGACTTCTAAAATGGAATTCAAACTGCAGACAATCTTGCCTGAACCCATTTTCTATTAGGCCTCTGAAAACAACTCTTTCCGTTCATGATTTACTCTTATCACATGGCTAACAGGTGTGACACCAGAAACATCCTGGACCCCCAAACTTCCTAGTGCTGTGGCAGGATCTTGGTGCCACTGCTGTGGAGAAGGGACATAAAGCAAAGCAATCCACAGGTGTGAGAAAATCCTCATGCACAACAAAGTAGGAAGTTGTATCCAAAACATGTGCTGGCAGCAAAAGGGAAGTGAGACCAGGCCCTCATTGAGTTATAATGTAACATAAGCAGTGTACTTGGATAGCACTGTTTTCTACCTAGAATTATGCAACTGTATGAATTAGAATAACATACTACAGTTGCATAATTTTAGGTAGAAAACAGTGCTATCCAAGTACACTGCTTATGTTACATTATAACTCAATGACGGCCTGGTCTCAGAAGTTTCTCTCCACTGGGAGAGTCTAGGGCAAAATAGGCTCAGCCTCCCAACAAGAAAAGAGAAGTTAAAAGTGTGTGTGTGTGGGGGGCGTCTTTTAGAAAGAGGACATCTGGTCACCCTAGCTCAGCGATGACGAACCTATGGGCACACATGCCACAGCTGGCACACAGAGCCCTCTCAGTGGGCGCGTGACCCATAAGTCACCATCGAGAAATACTTACCTGTCCTCCGATCCCAGATTTTGGCACTCCTCGCTGCTGGTGCGGTGGTCCAGCAGAGGGGTGGAATGGGGACCATTACCAGTGTAGCCCAATGGGGGATTGGAGGAATGGTATTTCTTTGTTAATACCACCCACAGCGGGGGGGGGGGAACCACAAGCATTTAACCATTGCATTCCAGGAGCAGTTTTTTTTTTTCCTAAAGTAAAACCTCAGTATTCGGGTTTTAATTGCAGTGTTGGCACTTTGAAATAAATAAGTTGATTTTGTGTTGCAGTTTGGGCACTCGGGCTCAAAAAGGTTCACCACCACTGCCCTAGCTATATGAGATGTTCAAGGAGTGGCCTGCTGTGGCCACCCTCCAGTGAATTTCTACGGCGAGAGATGTGAGCTCAGGTCTTCTGAATCCTAATCTTACTCTTCATCTACCACACAACACTATCTTACCTCTTTGTAAATATGCACAAGCTCAGACAGTAAAAATAGCATCATTATTGCTGTTACATTATCAAGGCCTGTGCCATATGTAAAGGGTCCTAGGCAACTGCAGTCTCTCCGTTCCTCCAGAAATGCAGGTAGCAGTGGCTGTGGTTGCTTCACCTGGCACTCCTCATAGTAGATTTTTAAAAATTACAATATAGCTTCTCTGAAATCCAGTAATGTAAGGTTATGTTGTCTAAGTCTGATTATGTCATCAACTGCAGCTGTCTTTTGGTAATTAAAAGTTTCCTCTCTTCCCCCCCCCCCACAAATGTTCTAGGATCCCTTTGGTCTTGGGGAGGTCTTTGAGGAAAACAGGACAGAGACAAGAAGTTTTACATGTCTGAAAATTGTCACTGCCGGTGCCGACTATCCAGAAAGGCCTCCCCCGGGACCTAAGGGAGCCTAGAAACCTGCTGATGGGGAGTGGGGGTGACAGAAGGAAACTTTTAATTACAAAAATATGACAGTGTCTGATAATGTTATCCGAGTTACACAGCAAAACTTTACATTACTGGATTTCAGCCAGTATAATTTATTGCAATAAAAATTCATTATTAAAATGGGAGGTCTCTGAGGAAAACAGGACAGAGAAGAAGTTTTACATGTCTGAAAATTATCACTGCCGGTCCCGACTATCTGGAAAGGCTTCCCCAGGACCTAAGGGAGCCTAGAAACCTGCTGATGGGGAGTGGGGATGACAGAAGGAAACTTTTAATTACAAAAATATGACAGTGTCTGATAATGTTATCCGAGTTACACAGCAAAACTTTACATTACTGTCGTTCAGCCAGTATAATTTATTGCAATATACAGTAAATTCATTATTAAAATATTAATTAAAATCCATTAAAGATTGAATTGAATTAATCAGCAAATAATTTTAAATCTGTGCTGAGACCCATGCACTTCACATTTGGTTAAGTGATAGAAATAGTGACAGCAGTTAAGTACTGCGAGCCCGTGAGTCTATCAGTAAAAGTTTTCTTTTCCAAATACAGAAATAAAGCAACAATACAAGTCCCCGGAGCAAGGTCTAGTTTTGTTATTTATTTATTTTTGTCTGCTAAACTAGATTTTGTACTTAATATATTAAGCTTGGATTATTTCACTGTAATATTGAATTTACTCTTTATTTCTGGATAATTTTGGTTTTATTTGAATTTATGGCTGTTTTTACAAAAAGAGTGTTTTCTTCACTCTCTCCTCAAGTATGATTTGCTTTAACTAGTTTTGGACAGAGTCTGCAGTGAAGAAGCAGGATATGAACTAACTGTAAACAGCAGATTACAAAAAAACCAAAACAGAGCACAGGAACAAGTGATTACAAAAAAAATTCCAAGACATTGAAACAGTAGATTTACTCAGCTATAAGGGAATGCGAATTCTTTCTGGTAGTATAAGAAAAAGTATGGGAATAGATATGAGAGCTCAGATTCAGGAAGAGATAGATGTCCTGAAGCTGCACTATTTGTGAGGGCCTCGCAGGCGGATAGAGAATAAATTGTGATTTATGGGTCAGAAATACTTTGAATCCTAGAAATAATTGGGAGTCCGAGATCCTTCACTCTTGTGTCATTTGTGGCCAAAATGTAAAAGAAACAAAATGAATGTTACATATCATATTTTCTGGATAGCTTAGTGGTTTAGGGAAGGTTGGGAGTTCGATTTCCCACTTTGCCTCCTTAACAGGAGTAGGACTTGATGATCCATAGGGACCCTTCCAGCTCTGCAGTCTGAAGATGATGATGATGATGATGATCTCCAAGCAATGGTTGGCCACTCCGTTTTCCCTCCTATGAACTTCTTTAAAAATGTATTTCCACATTAGTTTCAGGATTCCACTTATGTGCACTGTGTCCTTGAGGGGGTAAAATATACTTGCCTTATTTTCCCATTATTTTATCAACCTAGGCATAAACTTAAAGAAAGAGTGTTTTGGGGGAAAATAAGCAGAATTCAGAGGGTAATTAACATGGTTGGCATGGGTAAGGATGAAGTACTTCTTCATCAATTCTGAGTCAGTGCTTCCAACAGCTCCTTGATGCAACAGCTGAGCTTTTCATACAAGACATGGGATGGCCTAGATGAATGAGGCTTTCTCCACTTGACACACATGCATTTTCGTTGTGGGTTTTTCAGGCTCAAGACATGGGATGGCCTAGATGAATGAGGCCTGCTAGGCTAATGTCACATTCCCTGTCCTCTCTCCACTTGACACACACCCATTTTCGTTGTTGTGGGTTTTTCGGGCTCTTTCAATGGCTTCCCTGTGCAGTCTGATGTAATGATTGCTGGTGTTGTCCAGTATTTCAGTATTTTGGAATAGAATTTCATGTCCAGTTTGTTTCAGGGCATGTTCGGCTACTGCCGATTTTTCTGGTTGTTTTAGTCTGCAGTGTATCTCATGCTCTTTGATTCTGGTGTGGATGCTTCGTTTTGTGGTTCCAGAATCTGGAAGATGCGTCGTTAGGCAGTGTTGGAAGAGGGCCTTGATGTCTTCTGGAAATATCTGCTGGATGAGTGTCAGGGTGTCCTTTATCGGTACCTTAGTGAACAGCAAGACAACAAGACAAGTATGTAAAAACTGATGAAAATGGGTGTGTATTCATGAAGGTTTTCACGGCCGGGATCTAATGGTTGTTGTGGGTTTTTTGGAATATTGGCCATGTTTGGCCAATATTCCAAAATACTGAAATACTGGACAACACCAGCAATCAT